CCAAGACTTTTATAGCTGGGATCACTTATTTTTTTTTTTTTTTTAATTTTGATTTTTGGAGGAACCAACCATTCAAGATTCCTTAGAGCTATCCCAAAATACTTCTTGAAAACATGTTGTTTAATTTATGTGGACTTCAGAGTGTCTTTAAGTAATTAGATTTCTCTATCTGCATGCCTGATAAATCCTCTTGACTTGTATTTCTAAAAGGTCCATGTACACAGGAGGCTTCTGCCAAAACCTTTACAAGAAATATATATATATATATGCATATATTTTGTGGTCAGCAGAGTGGGATTTGGAAATAGGAAGGAACCAATGTCAATGTGGATCTGTGAATCCACTATGGTTTTTTTACTTCTCTTAGATTTTTTAGAGTTTATTCGAGAAAGTTTGCAAAAACACCTATGGAATTATGCATCCATTGTACTCACTTGACATTCATTGGGGTTTAGAGGATTAAGTCCATCAAGATCCATGGAAAAATCCCTCTGCAGGATTCATACAAGGCTGCTGTTCCAAAGAAATCCCAGTGGTGAACTGAATAATGTCTTGGCCAAGGGGTAAATCTCTTCAAAGTTCCACAGCAGCTCCTGCATGCCAATGGAGACTAAAACATGATATAGGGTCTGGTTTTCACTGAAGAGCAGAGACAGCTCCACAAATTTAAAAATATAATGAAATCAGCTTTTCATATACCTCGGCATACCTTTTTTTATATAGCTAGCTAATGGAAAACAATCAGGATAACAACCTGCACATTTATTAATTATACATTCCAGAGAAAAAAAATTATTTTAATACTATGCCAATTGAAACCCAGTTAGGATTTGAAATCTTAAGAGATATAATGATATACTGGAACAATCTTGATTACAGAGTTAATTAGAGAGCAAGTAGGTTTTTTTTATTAAAAATTAATAATTCATGCACCTTAATTGTCAGATAATGACAATTTTGTCTGCTATATGTATTAAAAATTATAAAATGCTTTACAGCCATGATTTCAAATATTCATTTTTCTTAAAATACATGTCAAAGGGTTGCTGTTAAAGCAGCTATCAAAAATCTAATGCAAATGAAAATACTGCTCATTTAAAACAAAACACAAACACAACCMTAATAAGTCTGAGTTGYCAAGGCTTCTACTTCTTGCYTTATCRGGGAAAGCCACAAAGAATTCTYTTGAGTCAGTGGTCAGAATAAACCWGGACCATAAGCAGTCAAGAAATTCAGAGAGGTTAGCACTCTTAATAAAGTTGAAGGCTCCAGACAGGAGCTCATGAGCTTTCCTTCAGATTTAATACTGAATATCCTTTTCTTCATGCACATGTTAATAAAATACTATTTCTGTTAGCTAAAAACCCGTTTTAAGCAGAAATGCAGTCATCATGGTAGGTAAATATGGTGTGCCCACTCTCTAACTGAATTTTTAATATTGAGATGCGCTCAGTGCTTAACCTTGATAGAAGGAAAGGTTTGTAATCTACAAATCATATCAACTTGCTTGCCCCTATTTTTGTGGTTTCAATTCCCCAAGAGAATGAATRAATTTCTAAATTTTAGCTTATCACAAAGAACACTCCTTTTTAGAGCACCCTTTCACTTTTTCTCTCGTATTTCACTTCACCTGGAAAGACAATTTTTGATAAGGGCCACTCTGTGTTCCATAGGTGGAGCTCCATATGACTCCAACACTGCCTGCTGGGTTTGCAGCACACACCAAGACAAAACCTGGGCTTTGGAAWCACCAGGGAACATCACAGCCTCTGCTGAGGGAGAATCAAATGGCAATAAAGAAGATTGCCGGTAATCCATACCCAGCAGCACCAAAACTGGGATCATGGTGTCATGTTGGACATGTTCCACCCCACACTGCCTGAAGATGATCAGCACTAGAAACACTGCAAAATCTGAATGTATCTACTGAGAAGATTTACTGGAATTTCCCATGGGAATGCCAGAGTTATCTGGGTGGGAAGGGACCTCTGAAGGTCACCCAGTCCACCCCCTGCAATGGGGGGTTTTTAACCAGATCAGCTGCCCAGAGCCCCACCCAACCTGACCTTCAGTGTTTGCAGGGATGGGGCATTCACACCTCTCTGACCATCCTGTTCCAGTGTTTTGCCATCTTCATAATTAAAAATGTGYTCCTTATATCAGGATCCAATGACAGAACAGAAAAGGCAGACAAATGGAAATTAAAAAAAAAAATCTATTTAAATATAAGGAAGTTTTACTGTTAGACAGCTCAAATAGCTCAGAAACAGCCATAGAAGAGGCTGCCCAGAGAGGCTGTGGCTTCTCTGCCACTGCCAACCCAACTGCACACAGTCATGGGCAACCTGCTTCTTTGATTCTGCTTTGAGCAGGGATTTCAACAAGATAATATCCAGGGGTCCCTGCCAAACTCAGGCCTCTTGGATTCCATGGTCCCAAGTGTTTTCCTCATCTCTGTAACTCCAGTCAGCCTTTTGGCTCTCACACATYCTYKGASCRYAAATATTTAGGGACATAGCTCAGTYAAAGTTTACAGTGTACCTTCAAAATCCCAGAATTTGCCCTGCTGTTCATACCCTACATTTTCTAAGTTACTTAATGTCTTTGTTAAAGCCAAGCAATATTGCATTTGTCACACTGCCATGCGCTGAGGAACTATTTTAAATCGCTGATGTTCACTGCAGAAAGTGCTAAGATGACTGCTTTTTCAGGACTGGAACAGAAAGGAAAAGCACACATTTGCAAGACGAAAAACATGTTAATAGAGGCCTGTTTATGACAACACACAGTATAAACTGATGATTAAACAAGCTTGCACATACGGTAAATGAAAATTATACACAAAATCAAAATTCAYGCATGTATCTGTAAAGATAAATTGAGCACTGTGCAAGTCTAGGGTTGTTTTTCCTTTCTTTTGGAAAATGTCTACTTCACTTTGAATGATAACATAATGTAACTAAAAACAGCACTAAAAGCAGTGYTGTTCTGAAAGACCAAGGAGGCAAGAACAAACTTAAAGCAGCARTCTAAAAACCATGACTAAAAGCTTCCTCTTCCCTCCCACCACTACCATTTAAATTCAGCTAGTACAAGTTGTAGTCTCACATCATCGAGCACTGTTATGCATGAATGATCTTTCCCTTGTTTTTGTTTCAATAAATACTGAACATGCTTCTGAACACTGCCCTTTGTCAGGGRCATCCAGTAGGCAAGACAGAAAATTGAAGATTTATGAAAATATTTTTTATATTGAGATCAGTAACTTCTAATGGAGACTTGAATTGTAAGTTTTCAAATTCATACTTRGTTACCATAGTTTTGGATTGTGAAAATGAAGGTGAAAACACTTAAAAGCATAAAACCCAACAGCTTGGACATGATGTATAAAGGAAAGGAGTCAAACAATGGCTTAATCTAAGTGCTTGGAAAACTTGAACACTAATGGAGGAATTGTGGGGAAGAAATGAGAGAAGTGAAGAGGAATACTTAAAAATGAGCATTTGATGACTAACAGCACAGAACCTTAGTAAATCAGACATGTTACTGCAATGGAAAAGGCCAGCATGTTCACACATGACACTTGAGATCCAAATTGGGGAAATTATCCTTGCTGAAAGTCTGGAAATGTGCTAGCGTGTGCTGCAGATGACTAAACCATGAAAATGCAGTGGAGAGAACTTCTGTGAGCAAATCCCACAACTACCAAGGCACAATACAAGGTAACAATTTACATTTCCCAGAAAACCTTTAGAAACAGAATGGATGCAGAATTAATCTGTAAATTATGGAAAAATATTRAAGATGCACACGCACATACAGGAGGCAAGAAAAAGCAATCTATGTAAAGAATGTTGTATATTTAACCAACAGAAAGGACAGAAATGCAGCTGGGATGAAAACTGCCATGGTATTGGGTAAGAGCTAATGAAACTTGGGAAAGAAAGGGGCTGGAGAGCAGAATAGGAAGAGAGAGACTTCAAGAAAAAGTTCAATAGATTCAGCAAATCCTTTGGTAACACAAGTAATGACTGGGAAAAAAAAATATACAAAGAGTGGCAGTTCCACAAAAATTACCTATCCCAATATAGAAGCTAAAAATAACTACATCAGAAGCTCCTCACCAGTGTCAAGCCAAAGCAAGAAGTATAGAGAAAGTGGAAATAGGACAATTATACTAAAAATATAGGAGGAGTGTGTAAAAGAAAATTAGAAATGTCAAAGTGTAAGATGGAAAGAAGCCAGCACAGAATTCAAAGAGAACACAAAATCATTKGAGATGTTAGGAGTCAGAGATTATGTGGCAGTCTAGTACTGAGTGGAGAAGGAAAACTATCACAATGCCAGAGCAATGTTGAATGATATCCTGGCTTTAAAATGTTAGCTGCAAGCAGGTGGGTAGAACAATTAATAGCAGAGAAAAGAGCAATATCTCAGTTTGGAATAAAGAAAAACAGATGAAAACMATTCAGCTACTCATACTGACTGATGAACTCACTGAACTAGCTGCAACAAATCAGGCATATTAAAGCTCATTAGGTACCTGTGAGGAACTGGCAACCCAAAAATGTAATTTGCAGTATCTTTCATTAAAAGGGAATATGGGAACCATAAACCACAGCTTTGGAAGCATACCTGAATTAATTAAACTTCCCTTCACCCCCAAACTGATCACAAAYAACAAGAAATCTGAAAAATAATATGGTTATGCCCTACAGCTGGTATGGATTGTTCCAGGACAAATCACATCAAACTAATTTTCTAATTTTCTTCTCTGACAGGGCAACAGGTCATTTCAATGAGGAAATTGTGCATATCAATTATCAAAATATCCAACTGTGTGTATCAATTTTTGTAGAGCTTTTGACACAACATATTCTAGTTTGTGGGAAGTACAATCATCAGAAAAGTAATGAAGAATATGCACAAAGACATTTGGGATAATGAAATTGATGGAATTATTGATTGTGGTTTAGTGTGAAATGGTAAAAGTTACTCACCAATGTTACAGAGACCGATTCCTAGATCTGCTCTATTCAATATTTTCATTATTAACCTAAATAAARGAACAGAGAATACATTTATTAAATATGCACCYCCCACCAAAATAAGAAAGACCCCAYTGGGGGAGGGGTTTAGAATTCACAGAGGTCTTGACAAGCTGGACAAACAAATCTGACATAAAATTGGTAAAGATTAAAAACAGACTTAAATGTCTTCATAAGTGAAGCACGAGGTAGGAATATCAAACCATTACAAACATATAATTCAATTGATGTCATATATGTGCCCATTTAGWAAGTATATATAACATAAAAACACACAAACCACAGTGCATATGCATAGAAACAGACACACACACTAAATAATGTGAAAAATCCTTGTCACAATGGTTCTGCAGTCACTGTGGGCAAGGCTTCAGCAAGAATGGTATTGCCTCTGAGAAACAAATGAAGCTGTCAACTGTGCTTTAGCAAAGACATGGACAAACKGAGGTAGATAATCAGAGATTTAGGAAGCATAACAAAAGAAAGAGCAAAAGAGCAGGGAATGCTTTGATACTTACAGTAGATAAGTGAAAGACTAAAGGGCTTAAACKACACTAAAACATTGGTTTAGACACTGAGAAAAAACTCTGGTAGTAATGAAGAAACAGTGAAATTAATTGCCTGGGGTAGCCATGGCATATTTATCACTGGAGGATTTTATAAACAATTATATAAACATTTGTCAGCAAGKACACAGCTGTAATTTATTCTGCTTTGAGGGTCTCCCAGGTTTCTTTTTCCAAGATTCTGCCATCCAGAATAGTCATTAATTTAACAGATAAGGTACTCACACACAAAAAAAAGTGTTTTGGTATCAAGTTTCTGCTCTTACCTAGAAAATAAATATTTAACAAGAGCTTTGGCCCCTGATTCGCATGCTGATCATCTGTATCTGACACAGATGCTCCAACTCCTGAATTACCATTGCACTGGGAATCTCAGGTGATCTCATTTSTTTATCTACAGGAAATTTCTGCACCTAAAAGACTTCACAACAGACTGATAGGAATTTTGTGCACATTCTTGTAGTTAACAAACTGTTCCGCAGTAAAAACTATTTGGGCTGTGATTCTTTCCCACCTGAATTTATGCAGCTTCCTGCATTCATGTGAATCTCTTGGGATGGGCAAACATCTCAGTTGGTATGTCCAGAGTTGAGCCAATTTTCTTGGACTTAACACTCTAACTCTTGATAGAGCTACACACTATGGACAGATCCCCAAATTCAAAAACTGCTTACCTACACTCCCCTGCAAAACTAAGAGCGTCATAGTCTGACCTTTAACATTTTTAGCTTCCATTTCAGCTCTCATCCAACAGAGATGATAGCTTGACACCTTAAAGTTATTTTATGCATATTCYGATTGTATTAACTATTTTTAGCTGCTTTTTTAACTGAAGTGTGTGAGTAAGCACATTTTGCCAAACTGCAAAGTTCAGCAATGCTTTTAAAGGCATAAGCTCCTTTGAGGTTTAATGCAGTCTTTTTCCAAGTAGTATGATTTCAATCCAAACYCCAAAATATCATCAGTTCACTTTGTGTTCTCAAAGCAACAAAGCAGATAAAAAAACAAAATAACCCTAACCCCAAACCCCTCGTTACTTCAAACTTGACAAGSCTCCTGTATTATTAATGTGATGTAAAATTTTTTCCCTGATCACCATATTTCGAGCATACCTAGCAATGACATTCCACCCTCGAGCTAAGAGCACGTGGCTTGGAATGAAAATGGTTTAGAGGCTCCCATGATTTCAATTTCTCTGGGAATGACAGCACTGCAAGCCATGAGTGTTTGCTGTGTGCAGCCCAGAGACACACAGGCACTCGTGKCAGTGCCAGGTCTGGGGCAATATGGGAACATCAAGTATCAATCCACCAAAAATCATATATCAGAAAATTTTACTATAGTAATTCAACATGAAATCATCCAGTGAATACAGAGAAAATTTGACTAATTCATTAAAACGAATTTTTTTAAAGAGTTTAGACAGATTCAAATATGAAAACAAACATAATCTTATCTGGAGGTTCTGTGTTYGGCAATCTAAGCCAGAAAATCAATGGGAGTCTTGCAAGAATGGTTCTGCAGTTCGATCAGCCCWGAGATGATCCTTTAAATATAACTAAAACAAAGGACAATCTTCCTTGAAAATATTAAAGTACAATTGCTTTCTTCTGTAGAACTATAAACATTGTCTCGATATTAAAAGATGATATTTTCATATTTCATATTGTGATGAAAACAATTGTAGAAACTTGAGGCAGTTTTCAAAGTAACTCCTTACTGATTAATSTTACAAATATGCAATAATCTCRGCATGCTGTAAATAGCTACAGCCARCAGAAAGAATKCTATTTTACAAYACATATAACTCAAAGTAACATCTTAATTAATTTGKTATCTCTTTTCACCATATATATGATCAGAATTTTAAATTATATGCTTTGTGTTTTTATCTAACATTTGGTAACGGTAAATCATATAATATAGAAAATGTAGAATTTATACAGGCAGGCAACACAAAGACAATTAGAAACACCCTAGTTTGATTTCACACAGCGTAATTTTGCCTCCCTAGGCAGTGATTACATTTAGTGGTTTCATTAGCTTCAGTYCTAAGAGTTGATTATGATTCTTTAGATTATTCTTTTTTAAATAAATTTCCCTTAAGCAGAAATACTTTTCTATTACTCTTGCACGTCTCTGGGTTTTTAAACGTTTTATTCTTCCCTAGTTACACTATTTTTTTACCTCCAAAACTATTTTTGCTGCCACAGTTCAGTGCTTTGGCTGAGCAGTGACATGAACTGTGCCCTGTGACCAGGACAGCAGCCACGGGGCAGGTGCCACAGCAGCACTGAGACACAAAAAATGTTCTCCAAGTTCTGCTAATGCCCGTGCCCATCTTCCCCATGGAAATACGGTGAAATGTCCTAACTGCAGCCTGTCTCTGCTCAGCCATGCTCTGTCCCTGCACACAGAGCCACAGCAGGCTGGCAGCTCGCTGCCCATCCCAGGGAGGCAGCATTGGACACAATAATTCCTCACTGCTTTTCTGGCCCAGGGGAGCAGGATTGTATTTCCAATAAAAATGCCATTCCAACAGTATTTGAAGTTATAAATAAAAAATTCTGAGTATATCCCACCACATTAGCACAAAGAGAAAGGCTTCATTTGCTGTAATGACACACCTCTGATGAGCACTTTAACATCTCACGGCTGTGAATTCCTCTACATGAATTTAAAAGGGCAGCACTTCAAGCAGAAGTGTGCAGAAAACCCTTCAATTTGTGTTACTGTCTGCAAAAATACTGCTTTAGGAAAACTCTTCATCTTCCTGGATATCCTTTATGGCATTATTCTTTAATTATCTCAGATGTAAACATTAGAGAAAGGACTAATTAATTAGAAAGCTTTTTGTGCTAGACACCTGATGTCTAGAAAAATTAATATTTGCTCTTTAGAGGGTCTGGGAACTGATGAAAGAAATAATTTGAATTAGCTGCAGATAGTTCACATTAGTGGATAATTAATTTTCTTCATATTTTGTCCTAGATTTCATTAGGCAACAGTTGTAAACATGTCTGTGGTGGTGAAAGAATGTCAGAATTCAGTTTAGATTATGACTGCTCAGGAAAAAAAGAATGCAACGGCAAGCATAATCATCAAGCAAAACCAGAAAGAAGAAATTTATTGAGAATTCAAAACATTATTTTGTAGCTGTTTAAAACATTTCTATTGGAAATTAAGGGAATATGACCCTCATCTCTGAAGGGAATCTAAGACTTAAGGGACTTCTAAATAGCAAAGGCAATATTCTGGTAATTTAACCTGATAGTTACGATAATGAAATAACAGGAGTAATAWTCTTAAAACACAGGATAACTTACATTTTCTTTATTTATGTGTTTATATTTTCAGTTTTTAATGTAACAATTTACAATACCAAGACATTTCTGTACTTGAGGRKTTTTTTTACATTTTCTGTGCAGRSAGTAAAATTTTGTGTAATAAAAATTACATCATACAGCATAGAATATTTGTAATAAACACGGTTCATTTTCAACCTGAGGAAGGGCACTGTGAGAAAATAGTTTTGATTGTGACAAAAACTGAAAATGGGGGTGCCAGGACATATCTTGTGGGAAAAATGTGATTAACATGTATCCTACTCAGGAATGAATTCAGTGATAGCTGGGATAGAGCACCACTGAAAATTCAGATTTCATTCCAAATTGTCTGGCCGCTGACACAATATCAGCAGTGCCTGCCCTCATTTAGTTCCTATCCTCAGAAACAACCTTAATGTGTGAATGAGACAGATGAAAGTTGCTCTGTGCCAGTTTGTTCAGCTGATCCTCTTGTGTGGAGATGGGGATTTTAAAGGACAAAGGAGGAGCTCTATTGCTGCTCACACCACTGAGGAGGTAGAACATGAAGTGGTAAAGCATTTACTGATCCATCGTGGTATAAAACTAAGTGCTGTAAAATTTTCTTGGGATAAATGCAAAGGATTTGCTTCACCTGAGCTCAGAGAAAGCAATTAAAGTCACTGGGGTATACTTAGGCTTATATTCAAAGATTTTCTGGCTCAAAGCCTCCAGATCATTTTTATGGATGCCTTGGGCCTCCGTATCTTCAAGAAGTGTTTTTTAGAGATTACCTTGTCACACACCAGCCACCAAACAAACTTGATTGCCACTGTTTTTAAATGCCTGATAAGATTCAGTATGGTATTGGCTAGATTCAATTTCAGATCTGGAATTCTGCTCCTTTCACAGGTTTGAAAGAACTGTGTTCAAAAAGTTTCAGACATCTACTACACAAGAAAAGCCCCAAAGTTGTGAAACAGAACTTGCTTAAAAGCAGCTGATTTGTTCACAATTGCGTGAGAAAAGCAGACTTTTTAAGAATAAAAAAAAAAAAAAAAAAAAAAAAAAAAAAAAAAAAAAAAAAAAAAAAAGACTACTTATCCAAAGAAAGATAAGCAAGAAGATTTACTCTGAAAGAAGATTATTCTTATGAACTTGAAGGACAGGGGAAGTTGTGCAGATTCCTGCAGATAGATGGAAATTATTTCAAAAGAACAACAATATCTTCTWGAAGGAACATTCTGCCGACACTGGAACAGCAAGTGGAGCTTTCTRTGCCTACACAACATCTGTCCCAGGCACTGAAATAACCACATTGAAAACAACAGAATGCATCTGCCCTCAGAAATAAAATCCAAACCAAACTATTTACAATATTGTCTTCCTTATCTAATCAAACTCAAATTAAAAAAATGTGATTTCACCTTAATTGAGCTTCATTTCACTGTTGTTTCAGTAAAATTGTGCAGGCCTTAGATTTTAATGAAATAAACCACTCACCAGCTGTTCCCAGTGACACTTCAGTTTTCTCAGTATAACCTATTAAAAAAAGAAAAAAAGGATAGAATTGGTAATTAGGGTACTTTATTGGAAACCAATTTTAGTGAAAATGGAGATACTTTTAAAATGCCAACATAGTTTATTATGCCAAGTAAGGMTGGGAATTAGTAACATGATTCTACTTTCAATGAAATTTGGTCTAAGACTTCCACAGCCYGTATTAAGTCAGGTTTAAGGCACAGGAGAAAGACAGAAGGTGGACTAAGCCAGAAGATTAAATCAGAAATAAATTGTCAAATTAAATCAGAAATAAATGCACTGTGCAATGAGAAACTGGGCTGCAAAGCCACACTATTGTTGTGAGCCATTTCAAGCTGGTCATGGGGACATTAAATCTCTCCATGAAAAATTTTCTGGTACATCTCTTGGAACTTGCACAAATCTCCCCCAACTTCAGCCAGTCATAGCACGCCAGCAAAAAGGAGAAATTTCTCAATTTCTGTTCTTGTTTTAATGATGCTTCTGTGATTTAAACCTGATTTAAATTGGTTTCCTTTTTCTTGAGCAGAACCTTAGAAAAGGCAGCACAAATTCATTTGTGTGGAAGATCACATTCTTCAGAATTAAATGAATCCTCTTATTTAAATGTCTTGCAAATATTTAAGGAAAATGTATTGCTGTCTTTTGGGGGAGGGGACAGAAAATGTGTTGATTGCAAATGTGTTTTCCACTCTGCAGTTCATTTTTCAATTCCTCCTGCAGACTGCAGTTTCTGCCTAATTGGGTTCAAGATAATTGACAACAACTAGACAAGATTTAAAGGGTAAGCCTCTAACAGGTACAGAGCCACAATTACAAAGATTTATACATATACATATATATGTATATATAAAATGAAAACRATTTTATTTATCTCTATATGCAAAACTTTTAAAGTGATTTCAATCTTAAAAGGGACATTTGGCCTGGAAAAACAAAACATTCAAATGGTCAACATTCTTGATCTCATTTTTCATAAAGTTTTCACATCAAAATAAGTATGTTTGGATTAAATATACTTTGCTTGTTTTCTTTTAATTCTTAACCAGCTGTGCATTTGTCACAGCTGACTTTAACATTAGTTATCTGTCCTTTTTTAATCACAGTACGTTCATTTGGCACATGGGTCATTATTACTTGAGACATCTTTTCAGTTTCCAGTATATTTTGTTCACATCATCCCATGCAATGCCAATTATTTTTATGGCTTTGCCTCTGYATCAGTACAGATTTCTGACATATATTGACTTTCATTGGTGTAAGAAGTTCATTTTTACTAAGGGATGAAGATTTTTCGTGATAATTTGAATTCTTCATCCATCATTCTTTGGTAGGCCATAACCATTTTGTCTCCTTCATGATACCATTTCATTTTTCTCTCTTGATAAGCATTGGTGTTGAGATCCAAATGAAAGTGAAAATCCCACGTAGTTAATTCCAGTGAGTTACTTATGATTAAATTCTGGACTTCATCATAAGCAATGAGAAAATGAACTGCATTTCAGCTGGGACTCACAGACAAATCCAAAGGAAGGAATTAGGTACTGAAATATTACTCAGTTTTATAAGGAGATCTCTCTTGTCACCACTGTATGTTGTTATTCTCTGTACCCTGAGCCTTGCCCAGATCACACTCAGATGATTTCAAAGATTTGCAGAGATTTCAGTCAGTCA